TGAGCGAGTGAACTATCTAGTTTCTACGGAAAACTCGAGTGAGAACCTGCAAAACCGAAAGACTGAACTTCAATTCTAGCAGCCACATAAGGTTTGAAGTGGTTCCAAATAGACACATAAAAGGCTGCACTGTGCTTTCGACAATTGAAAGTATCTAATAATTATTCGTATTAGCCTATATTCGATTAAAAGGAAGAAAGGGTGGCTTCAAAAGACGACGCTACATCGCCGTACTTATATTCAATCGCTGATATTCAATCGCTGACAAATCAGGTATGTTGGAAAAATAACTCTTAGTCCACACGACACTATTTGCTTCAACAGATGGCTTACTTTCTATGCTAGCAATTTTTCATCAACAAGAGCGAATTTAAACTGGGGCTTACGACGTAGATCCAAATTCTAAGCTAACAAAGATCCATGTTTTGAAATTCGGATCTATAATAAAAGTAGTAGTAAGACCAAAGAAAAAAGTTGCGAATGAGGATCCTTGGTTTTGTTTTCACTGGAAACCTTATCTCTGGAAAATTCGGCTCAAAATCTAACCACTTTTGACTACGCTAATATTTTGCAATCAGACAATGTCATGCAGCAAGCGCTCTCCAACTCTACCTTGGTAAACAGAAGCCACAATTCTCAATTTTAAGTATCTAGTGGAGAAATAGGTGATAATTACAATTGATATGGCTAATGTTCAATGAGCTGTATCTGGGGAAAAGTGGGTAAAACACTTATGCAAGCCAACATTCTCGGAACTTTCTAAGTTTTTGTTGCTACAATCGCTCTTACTAATACACACTGCTTACAGAATGCGTCCTATGTTATGAGAAATCATTTTTATAGCATCTCGTGTACAGTATTCTTCACCGTAGTAGCCAAGCTCCAAGTCTCATGGAACTCTTGATAGATAATATTTTCCATCATGTAGGTCATTACGTAAGAAGAGAGGACAACACTTTGCCAGACCATTCCCTGATAGAAGTCGAATAGCTGACAAGTTATGGTTTTTTACTGAAATGACGAACGCTTTCGTTAAAACAATAAAGATGTAAGGAAGTGGTTAAAAAAACTAATACCTGGTAGGTGGTATTCATTCTAAAAAGAATTGCTTTTATGCTTGCTACTTGCAGACTTACTTCATCTAAGGACAATTCAATATTTCTGAGAATCGTAAAAATCTGTCTTTTTTACTAATAAGATGCCAATTCATTATAATTTGTTGCAATTTGAATCAAACATAGTTTCTGAATTTCTCCATTGCAGCAAGCTGTAGAGTTAAGCCGAAGTGACGACAGTCATTGGCGAAAAGTTCAGCAAGGAAAAAATGGCAGTGTCTAGCTCACTTTAAATTCCACAAAGTCCAACTTGGATTTGTGGTTATGCGGACTAGTGCGCAAAAACCATGCAAAAGTTGTTAGGTTGACTGCACGATTCTGTCTAATCATTCTCATCATTCTCGTGATCTCACCACCATTTTTCTAAGCGTTGTTATAGCTAGCGCTTTGGTATATCCACCGAAACCCCCCA